ATAGTTCTCAGCGTTTTTTGGCAACCTTAAAATCTAGCCAGAACATTCAAATTCAGTGCTGTATAGATTGTGTTATGATCTACCTGGATCCCCATATCTGCATGTGTATACATGTGAGGTGTGTGTGTGTATAATTTACATTAAAATGAATTAGAACTCATTTTTTGTTTGCAAAATAGAAACATTTTGCGAATTTTTAAAATGCTGTATAGATACTAAGGATTATAATTCATTTCATCATTATTACGCTCTTCTTTTGTGTGTGCCTCCCAGAACAAGCACCCTAGGATTTACTGTTTCCCTCACAGAGACTTTCCTGGCCGCTTCCTTCTCATTCTACCATCTCTGACCCAAATTTCTTCCATAGCCTGTGCTTTTTGTCTCCTCTTTCTTGTATTTGGAAGGTAAAGATGGAGACTTGGGTAGAGATCCCAGCCCCGCAACCCACTAGCCACGAGATCCCAGTGCCTCACTTTGCTCCTCTGTAAGAGCGGGGTAAAAGTGTGCAGCAAGGGGTCGTTGCCTTTGCCGGCCTCCTGCTGCCCCTTTAGTCACTCCAGTGTGTCGGTTCTTTCAGCTTAGAATCTCTTCCATTCCAGAGTTCCTCAAAAGTCCTCCTAGCCAGTTAACTAGATCTTTCTGTTTGTTTTTATTTTGTTAAACCTGAGGTTTGGATGAGTTTCCTTAACTTGTCAGGAGGTCTGCTTCCGATGCTACCCCACAGTCGCCCGTGGCATGAAGCCGCGGGGGCGGACGGCTAACCCCCCAGCGCAGCGCCCGGGGCAGGGCGGATGTGTCTGGCCATCAGAAGTGGGCCTGCGGCTTGCGCAGAACTCACAGGCCTCCTAAGCAGCTGGAGGTTAGTAACGCAGAAAAACGAACAGAAAGCCATGAAAAGAGAGAAGGGCAGTGGGAAAATGAGGCCAGAGCAGGTGCAGCTGGTGTTCGTGCTGGGAGAAGTGGCTGGCGGCCGGCCTGCCCTCCCCGCTCTGGTCCCCGCTCAGGCGGCGCTGCTTTCAGGTTCTCCACCAGCTGCTTCGGCCGCGGCCACAGGCGCAGGGGTAAGCTGGGCCGAGGGCCACTGGGGCTGCCACACCGGGGCCTGTGTGACCTGCCCCTGGGCTCCAGGCTAGGGCCGGAGGGCGGACGGACAGGGAGATGTCTGTGGCGTGGGTCCCTCACTTAGCAGGTGTCGTGCACTTTCACGGGGCAGGTGAGCACACGTTCCCTCCCCGCGATCTTTCACCACATCTGGCCGGACGCATAAATGTAAAAGCCCACGGCTCCCTCTGCGCTCTTAGCAAGTCCAAAGGTGTGTTTCTTTGTTGTTCCCGGTGTAAACCTGAAACTCATTTCTTGCTTTCTGTACAGTGTGAAGGCACTTCATGTCTCACTAAAGCTACTCCCCAGAAATCAGAGTGTTCACCCGGCCACCACAGGGCACAGCTGAGCGGAGCATGGGAGGTGCCTGCGGGTCAGCTGCGGGATCACTGCGGGATAGATGTGGGTCGGCTGCGGGTCGGCTGCGGGCTCCGTTTGCTCAACTGTCCAGTGGGGCGGTGCTGTCTTACCGGGATGCTTGATTGAGACAGTAGTTATGACAGCTGTCCAAACCGTTGAAAGCCGCAGACAGGTGTCGCTTGTTTGATACAGGGTGCTGTGTGAGGTTGAGAGCCAGAAAGAGTGTGTGTGTGTACGTGTGTCCGTCCTGCCGGCCGAGAGTTGAGATACGACTGGAGGACATAAGACACACGTGCGTGTTTATGCAGTCTGGTCAGAGGTGATTATCTGCGTGTCTCTGATGGCTTTAAAGTGCTTGGGGAGCTCCGTGGGGAGGAAGCTTCGTGGACAGGGTGACATCTGAGCTGGGCTTTGAAAGATGGCCCATGGCGGTGGACAGTGTGGATGCAGCATTAACTTAACAAACGAGTACGGAACAGAGGGCCCCCCCCCTCCGTGCAGAGGGACTATTGTGAGGAAAGGCACAGATTTTAGGAACAAATCAGGCCTGTGCAAGCCACAGCGATAATTGGGTTGGATTGGAGCATCAGTTTGGATTTGTACCCTGGGCAGCGGGAACCAGCAAAAAAATGTTGAGCCGAGGGAGTGTGAAGACCAGAACTGGGCTTTTAGGATGAATCATCTGGCAAACAGTTTAAAACAGAGGAGGAGGGAGTACCTGGAAGCTTTCTGTACTGAAGACCGCTAGGAAAATATGCAAAGCACCTTACTTATTTCCCAGTATTATTTTGAAGACTCAGTGAGATAGAGGTGGTGGAAGTATGTTTGGAGAGATGAGTCAGGATGGCGCAGGTCATGAGCGTCCTAGGCTCCGGCAACAGCGGAGCACCTGCCAGATGTTCCTGGAAGCCAGGCTGGGCTGCTCCCCGCTGGTGGAGGTGCAGGGCTGCACAGCGCAGCTCACGGCGGCCCCCACGCCCTCTTGCTCTGCCCTTCCCCTTACTCCCACCCCTCAGTTTGGCTCCTGCTGCTTCCTGGCTCTGGACTAACTTGGTTTCTCATTTCTGCCTGGAAGTACCCTTCGGGGCTTGATCTGTTTCCTTTCCTGGATTTGTTCTTGACTCTTCCCAGGAAGCTCTGCCCCTCCTGGTCACTTGGAGGGATCCCTTGCTCAAACCACCTCCTTTCTGACAGACCCTGGCTCCTGGGACCTCCCCAGCGTGCCCTCGCTGCAGCGACTGGCCCAGAGAGGAGTGTTTTAAGAGACTGAGGGATCAAAATTCTGCTGTTACCAGTTCCTAGCTTGGGTAGGGGTTACTTTGAGCTTTGGTTTCATCCAGGGTAAAAGGAAGAGAAGATCTCATTTTCTCCCTCTCTGATTTAGCTGTGAGGTTGAAATGAGGCAATGAGTTAAGGGCTGCTTAGTGTCCCGTGAATATTGGTTGTCTGTTGTCTTTTCTTCTGACCTTCCATTCCAGATGAAGAACATTTACTTTTGAGCTCAGCGCTGCCCCGGTTTCCATCTCTCTAGACTCAATTATATTTTCTTTCTTCCTCTTTGGCGAAAGCTTTGGTGTAAAAAGTTTATTTATGCTCTGGCACTTCCCACCAGTGCCTTGGGGGAGGTTTTGGAGGTCCCAAGACAGGACTTGGCAGCACATTTTCCTATAGAAAGAATGTTATGATGTGTTGGCTATGTGCACCGCAAGGACTGTACCTAAAGGATATACAGGCCAGACAGATTTTCATGAAATCCTACTAGCGCTGTCCATTTTCATGAGAAAGCACTTAGATCCTCTTCTCTGGGCCAGTCACCCATCCATGTCTAACCCAGGCCTGTCTCTCCCTCCTGTGTGTCTGTGCTCAGTAAGCCTTGGTGGGCGGGACTGCCTGGGCAGCATTTAGCAAAGTCATGCTAACACAAGAGCTTTGTGAAGTTAGCCCTGTGGCTTGGCGCTGTTCTGACTAGCCTATTTTTATAAAATGGAGGATCTCAAGTTTAATGGGATATGAGAATTGAAAGGTCCTGGAAATCCGTGACCTACCCCCAACTCACGTTTAAGTCATTCCTAGATGGCAAGAACTTACCCTATTATCGGACATTTTCGGATGGCATGTGGCTTTTCATAGCCATCTCCTGTAAGGGCTCTTGCCGAAAAGTCTTTCTTGATGTCTGCGGGCAGAGAAGTCTCCAATGAAGGCGGGGTGCTCTGGGCCCGTTGTACCTCCTCCACCACAAGAATCTGCTCCCTGGACAGCATCCCCGTTACTGCCCTGCCCTGCCACAAGTATAAATCCCACCTCCTCCCCAGAGGGAGCTGACCCTTTGGGGCTTTTTCTGTCCCAGAGGCTAGGGAAGTCCACCTGAGTGCCTTCCTACAGTCCTTTTCCCCTCTGTCTAGGGTGGGCATGCCCCCACTCTCCCAAGCAATCACAGCACCTGCTAGTTACTTCATACAGAAGAATGTAGTACTTACTGAGCGACTACTGGGAACCAGGCAGTGTACTGAGAACACAGATGGTGATGCCAGTGTCCGCTTGGAGAGCCTTGCCTTCAGAAGGTGGAGTGACCTGAGGTCACCCAGCTGTGAGTGGCAGGGTTGGGTTTGAATAGAACCAGCACCAGAGCCCAAGCCCTTAGCATCTGTCCGGCCGCACAGGGTGCGGAAGACGGCGTGGCTGCTCTGGGCCTGAGCCGCAGGTCCCTTGCACCTGCCACGCACACGCTCCCGCCTGCCTCCCCCGAGCCCACCCCGCACCTGTTCCCCTCTCTGCGGGTCTGCACGCTCCCGCTCGGCCTTTGCTTTCACCCATGCCGCCTTTTTTCTTGGAGGAGACAGAAAACTGCTGATTTGCCATCTGGTGACTTACGGCCAGATGTTCCTTTGGCCTTCCCCTCATTGGGCTCGAAGTTCTGACTTCTCTGTTCTTTTTTTAAAAGATTTTATTTATTTATTTGACAGAGAGAGAGGCAACGAGAGAGGGAACACAAGCAGGGGAAGTGGAAGAGGGAGAAGCAGGCTTCCTGCTAAGCAGGAAGCCCGATGTGGGGCTCCATCCCAGGACCCTGGGATCATGACCAGAGCCAAAGGCAGACGCTTAATGGACTGAGCCACCCAGGCGCCCCCTGACTTCTCTATTCTGAAGGACTCCTCCTGTAGTCCAGATTTCTGATCGACCCTCCTCCCCCTGCCCCTGCCCCGTAACCCCTCCCTCTTCTCAGTCCTCACCCACATTCAAGCAGCCCTGTACATGTCTCCCTGCGCTTTGGGCCCTGGTTCTTTTCCTGGCCGTTTTTTCTTTTTATAGTGGTTTCACTTCTTTCCAGAGCTTTCCCCAGCTGAGCCCAAGCTGCCAGCATCAGCCAAAAGTCTCTCCAATAGCCTAAATACGAACCTGGGCGCTGGGTTTTAGTTCTGACCTACGCCTGGCGTGGTGCTCCGTGACTTCACTAACATGGGAGGGAGGGCTGGGGGGCAAGGGGAGGGCAGGTCCGGACCCCACACTCGCATTTATTTGGCACTGTTTTTGCTTCTCAGGTACCCAGATAAGCTGTTTCTCCCCAAGTTCCTTCTCCTGGCGGCAGGCTGCCTTCGTGGATTCGTACTGTTGGGCTGCCGTTCAGCAGGCCTCCTTGCAGGGCGATGCCGGACGCCTTCCGCTGTGTCTGCATAAGGTAACCGGGGACGCTTGCGAATCTCACCTGTCTGCTCTGTAGATGTGGGAACGGGGGCCCCGAGAGGCTGTGCCAGTCCACGGCCACACAGAGACCATGGCCATCCCGCAGCGCAGACATATGCGGGTCATAAAGAGACCCCAGACATGACTTGGTCCAGCACCTTCACTAGCCGCTGAGGAAGCTGAGGCACTCTTTGGATTTTAGCTCCGTACCGGGGGGCGCCTCTTGTGTCTTAGTCCCCTTCCTACCCTTACTGCCCAGCAGCGTCTGGCGCAGAGTAGGCTCCCGGTGCGTTTTGGATGCCTGGGTGGGCAGTGTTAGACAGGGGCAGAGCTAGGACTTGAACCTAGCTTTGGCCGCTGCCTTCTCACTGCTCACAGGGTCCCTTGGGAACAGTAAGGGCCAGCATACACTTTAGTTTCTTCTAGACAGTGTGTTGCTAGAACATCAGGAAGCCTGGTGATGACTCTCTCCGGGGGTGTTGGCTGCAACACAGCCCGGGACAGATTCCTTTGCTTTCTGATGGGGCCAGATACTGTGGAGGCACACTACATGGGCGACGCCCGTGTCCGACAGAGGAGAGGTGCAGACAGTCAGGAGCTCTGTGTTAGGGGAGTGGTGGAGGTGGAGGTGCATAGAGGATGCGCAGTGGGGAACTTGAGCCAGAGTTGGCCAGATTTGTGCAGGAGAACGTTCTCTGTGTAATGAAATGGCTCCAGTAGGTCTTCTCTGTGCATAAAGAAGTAGGACTCTCCGTCAGCCTGTTATTATTTCGATCACTGGTTCTTTTGTCCATCATGAAAACAAATAGAAGGTTTGTGTTTCGTCTGCTTTTCTCCTCCATTGAGGAAAGAAAGCATGCTATTTTCTGAAGAGCCAAAGGCTGAAGTTTGATTCTCTCCAGCCTTGACCTATTGTTGAACACACATCCTTCTTTCTAAAAAAGAACAGTTTAAGTCCTTTGCTATGACTCAGGCCTCTTCCCCAGTTTATTGCATGCCGTCAGGCACAGTGATGCCCTACAATGACTTCTTTCTTCTTTGGGGTTGGGCTTTTCTCTTAAACATTTAGCCTTAGCGTCCCCATCAACTCTGCATGTCTTAGTAGCCAGGCCAACCAATAATGATATGAATGGCCATAGTTCCAGAAGCTGAACAGCCTTGTTTGCAAGTCGAAATCCATGCTGTTATAGCTTAGGTGCCTTTGTTACAATGCTCTTAGGAGAAGGGAGGTTGTAACTAGTCGCCGGGCTGGGCATTAACGGAGCCACAGAAGAGGAATGTATAATTTGGCTTGCCCAGTATAAGAGCTGGCAGGGACGGTAGAGATTGTGAAACTTTGAGAGAAGGAAGAAACTCAAGGATTTTGCTGCAGTATAAGGTGAAGGGCACGTAGAGAGAGCAAGCTGGGGACCAGGACTAGTTGCTGGTCTAGACCTGGACTAGTCAGGTCCCTGGCTGTCCAGTGCCCCTTCAGTAGAGAAGGAGAGACCAGGTGGAGCAGTGGGGGCAGCCCAGCCTTCAGTCTCCAGTGTCAGTGAGAGACTGAGGAGCTCTCTTTCTGGTGGTGGTAGCCCAGCTTATTTGGATGGAAGTTTGGCTGAGAGATCTTTCCAGATTCACAGGGCTGGGGACGGAAATTAGAGTTGGGACCAGCTAAGTTGGAAGGACCCTGGTCAACACCCCTGGCTTGAAAATCTGTTCCTGGGGAGTAAGGGATGATCCTAAATGAGACCAGCCCTCATGGGGACTAGAGTCCTGGTTTGAATCATTTCAGTACTGATGGAATGAGGAGATGGGGGGATGGTCAGCATCTCTAGTCTGCCCGCCAGCCAGCAGCAGGAATAAGTCTTCTCCAGAGGCAGGTAACTTCATCCAGAGCCTCAAATTCTTGTCCAGTTTTTCATGTGTAATTTCAGCAGTCGATAAAAAAATAACCAATGTACAAGAAAACCGAGTCTTCCTTTGGGTGGTGTTGTGTGTTGAATTGTATCCCTTAAAAGATGTATTGATGTCCTAACACCTGTACCCTCGAATGGGACCTTTTGTGGAAATAGGGTTGTTGCAGGTGGAATTAGTTAAGGTGAGGTCCTACCAGAGTAGGGGTGGGCCCCTAATCCTCTGTGACCGGTGTCTTCATAACAGAGGCGTTGTTGGCCCGGCCAGACTCTGTGATCGTAGCTGCTTTGTTTCCACACTGTTTCTTCTTCCGGTGTTTTGTTTAATTGTGATAAAATACACACCACCTAAAACTTACCTTCCTAGCCATTATCAGGTGTGCAGTTGAGCGGCGTTAAGTACATTCCCACAGTCGTGTGACCATTGCCAAGATCCGTCTGACCTTTCTCGCCTTCCTAAACTGAAACTCCAGACCCGTCAAACACTGACTCCCTGTGCCCCCGGCCCCCACTGTCCCGCTGTCTGTCTTCTGTCCGCGCTCTCAGGGCCCTTCTGTAGCTGCAGTCCCGTGGGATGTGTCCTTTTACATCTGGCTTACTTCACTCCGCATAATGTTTTCAGGTTTTGCTCACATCGTTGCATGATCAGAATTCCCTCCCTTTTTAAAGCTGAGTCATACTCTGTCTCATGTGTTGACTGTGTCTTCTGTGTCCACGCATCTCTCCGTGGGCCCCTGGGCAGCTTCCGCCTCGCGGCTCTCACGGTGAATGCTGCCACGAGCACGGGTGCGCGGGGATCTGTGCAAGGCCCTGCCTGCAGGTCCTGTGGGCCTGTGCCCGGACGTGGGGCTGCCGGATTCCTTCTCAACAGAGCTCTTCCTGATGGTTTTCTTGTGGCCTCTCCACGTTCCGTGGACTCGCGATTGCCGAGCCGGCAAGGGCCCTCGGTCTGCTCTCCGAGGACTTTGCCCCCCTCTCCGTGTGCCCTCCACTCCTGTGGCCACCGCGCTCTGAGTTTGTCATTACCTGGAACGACAGAGGGCACCCCACTCCCCACCAGCCCAGCCCCTCTTGCCCTCTGAGGCCCTCCCCGCCACTTTCAGAGAAAATGGAAACTCTGACATGAGAACAGCCCCAGGTTCCTGCCGTCAGACTGGCTGGATGTCACCAGGGCGGCCCCAGCCGTTTCCTTCCCTTCTGAGAAACGGCTCACGAGAGCCGTGAGGTGGAAGCTGCCGGGGGCCCACGGAGAGATGCGTGGCCACACAAGACACCGTCAACACATGAGACAGAGCATGACTCAGCTTTAAAAAGGGAGGGAATTCTGATCATGCGACGACGTGAGCAAAACCTGAGAGCCAGTTCTGAGAAACGGACCCCCGACCGACGGCTGGACCCCTGTGTCCTGGACCCCGTCCCCCTGGTTGCAGACCCACCGCGTCCCCGTCTCTGTCCTCTGCACCCTCAGCCTTCCCTTGCTGCGGGCTCTCTCCCCAGGCACGTTGTGGCACATCTCTCCACCCGAGCGCTCTCCCCACGTCCCTGGCAACCCCTCTGCTGCTGCGTAAGTGCTCGCCTCCCCCCCCCGCCCCCCCCGGGGCGGGGGCGCTTCTCCCACTTGACTTCTCTCGGGCAGTGCGGTCCTGTGAGCCGTGCTCTCACTCTGCGGACACACTCTGGACTCCTGGGGCGGGTTCTCCTTGGCCAACTCCTTCTTCGCCCAGCAGTGAGAAGCTGGGGTTCCTCCGGGGCTCTGCCCTAGGCCCCTCCCTTTCTCACGCCGCCCCTCTCCCTCGATCACCTCACCCGGCGTCTTGGCGTCCTCCTCTCTGCCATCAGCACCTGGGTCTTCGTCTGCAACCCCTGCCCCCCCTGAGCTCCAGATCCAACCCCAGCTGCACCCTGAGCTCGTGCACCCGAAGAGCTAGCGCGTGCCTCCAGCGCATGTTCCCTGCCCGGCCCCACTGTGCCCCCCACCGTGTACCCTATTCCCTCAGCCAGAAATCTGAGGGCCGCTGTGCCATCGTCTCCCTGCTCCATCATGTCAGCCGCCCAGCCCAGCGCTCCTGCTTTCCCACACGGTCTCGTGTTGGGTCCCTGGCCCCGCCGGGGCCGGTCTCTCTGGCGGACTCCTGCCGTGCGCGCTCCCGCGGCCCGGTCTCCCTGGCGGACTCCTGCCGTGCGCGCTCCCATTGCCCGTTCTCTCTGGCGGACTCCTGCCGTGCGCTCTCCTGTTGCCCTCATTTCGTACTCCTCCTTTGCCCCTTCCCACTAACTGTACGTGCTCTTCTTCTTGCCTGACCGTCCTTTCCCTAAACAGAACCTTCCAATGTCCCTGCACAATGTCTAGATTTCTTTTAGAAGTCAGGCTATTTTGGCCACCGTGGTTCTCCCTCCCACTGGCCCCCGCGAACCCTGCCGCCCCAGCCTCACCGCCAGGCCGTCCCCAGCACCCCTGGGCCCTGGGGACCCTGACTTCCTGTAGCTCGCACGTGTCTTGGCCGTCTCACCCACACCTTCCTTTGAAAAACCTTCCCTGATCACCCTCCCCTCTAATCCGGCGACCTCCTAATGTGCTGCTCTGGTCTCAGCTTAAATGTCCTGTCCACTTGGAAGCTTCCTCTTGAAACTCTCGACTGAGGGTTGTTGCCCAGTCTGATCGCTTTCAGGGCCGGGTGGGGTCAGCACGAAGTAGGACCCAAAGGCCGCTGTGTGGACAGTAGACCGCACCACCTGCCTCCAGGCAGTCAGATCCCGACAGTGGGGTGCTGGCCAAGCAAAACAGCAGCTGCACCGCACTCTGGTCTCTCTGTGTGTTCCCCGAGCAGACTGTGCTGTTCCTGGAGCAACCATGGGAGATACTCACCTTAACTCTGCTGAAGTGATTCTTTATTTCTAAGCCTGCAGGTTCCCTGCGGGAAGAGCCCACGCCCATGTCTCCTGCGGCAGCGTGCCCCTGGGGCAGTGCGTCGCCCGCGGGGGTGCTCAGAACACACACGTGGAAGTGGGGGGAATGAAGCCGTTCGTATGTCTTGCTCAGATCCAGGCTTTGTCCTCCAGGAGCATCCTGAGTCCGGGGTGAGGGCGTAAAGGGCACAGG